GCTTCCAGTCGATCCTGCCCCAGCCCACGAAGAGGTGAGGGTTTAGGGTTTAGGGTTTAGGGTCCGCCGACCCTGGCGGCGTGTTGGATGGGAAAAGGAGGTGAAAACCTCCCTCTTTCTTTCCTGACCCCCCAAAACGCGGGGCGGGTGGGGGGGGTCGGTGCACAATTTTTTCGTGGAGAACCGCGCCAGCACAGGGGGTAGGGGCGCCCTCAGCAAAATCAGCGGTTTTTGGGCTCTTTGGGACTCCCCCCCCCCTACCCCCCCCACTGCCCCCCTACCCCCCCCCTCCCCTGCCCCCCCAACCCCTCTCTGCACCCCCTCCCACCCCCCCACCCCCCGCTGCCCCCCGCCCTTCCCCCCCCCCACTGTCTTTCTTTTCCTGCCTTCTGGGCTGTTTGGGTCCTGGTGCCACCCCCCCCCCCCCAACGCTTCACAGAACTCTGCCGAGCAGGCTGACCTTTCAACTATGCTCCAGCGGGGTCGGCGGCTTGAGCCGGAGGCTCTTAAATTTAGGGTTTAGGGTTTGGGGTTTGGGGTTTAGGGTTTAGGGTTTAGGGTTTAGGGTTTAGGGTTGAGGGTTAGGATTTAGGGTTTAGGGTTTAGGGTTTCGGGTTTAGGGCTTGCTGCTTAGGTCTCTTGGAAGCACGCAAGCTAAGCTCGCTAGGGGCTCAAGGTTTGAGCACTGCGGGTTTGGGAATTAAGAGCTTGGTTTGAGGGCCGTTGCAGGCTGTCGGGGTTCCTGGCGTGGATGGGGCCCTAAACCCTAACCCTGGCTTGGGTTTCAGGTTTAGGGTTTAGGGTTTAGGGTTTGGGGTTTGGGGTTTGGGGTTTGGGGTTTGCGGTTTGGGGTTTGGGGTTTGGGGTTTGGGGTTTAGGTTTTAGGGTTTAGGGCCCTATAAGCCCGAAGCCCTATTCCCCACGCCCTCAGCGCTAAGTCGTAGGGTTTCAGCTCCCAAAAGATAATGTGTCAGGGCAAACTTGGGCGGTTGCAGCACCTGGAGAAGGAGAGGTCCGAGAGAGCCCCCATAACTCAGGAATACACTTGCATTAACTACTATAGGGGGTTCAGGGCTTAGGCTTTTGGGTTTAGGGCTTAGGGTTTCTTACGGATTAAACTGCTTAGCAGGTCTTTCCGCTACAAATGGGTATTGGGCTCTCCAGACTCCACCCTAAACCCTGGTTGACCGGGAACATCCACTCACTCCGTGTGTGGAGATCTCTGCAGCTCGGCATTGTGGACCGCGTACGTGTGACTCTACAGGACTCGGCCACCGGAAGGTCCAGCACCACGGCCGATATGAGCCCCCCAAACTGTCGCGTGTACACCTCCTTCAAGACACACTTCCAGCTCATCCCCACCTTCAAGGAAGCAGTCTAGCTTATGCGGTTTGCAGCCGTCACATAGACGTGAGGAAAACGTCTCTGCTTCTCTTCTCATGCCAGAGCACCTTCTTGGATGAGGGAGGCAGCGCCATGCCCTCAGTCCATGCTGACTCAAACCCTAAACCCGCTAAACCCTGAAGCCCCCCTGAACCCACAAAGCCGCCCAAGCCCCCAAAATCCCCTAAGCTCCCGAAGCCCCCAACCAAGGGCCCGGCAAAACAAGCTGGCCACAGGGCAAGCGAGCAGCGAAGTCGACGGACCCTGGGGGCACGGCGCCATGAACTGAACCCCCCCTCCACCCACCACGCCCCGCTCCAAACGGCAGGATTCGCCCTATGACCTTGTCAAACATAGGAGTTTGTACCAAAGCCAGGGGGTGCACACAAAAGAACCTTGAAGAGTTTGGCATGCAGGTTAACGTATCCTTTAGAGCTTGACGAGGGTTTAGGGTTTAGGGTTTGGGTGCAAACCCGCAACCCTAAACTCACCAAACACACACTCAGAGCTGCGAACAGGTTGACAGCGAAACACGAGTTACAAGTTTAGGGTTTGGGTAGGGTTTAGGGTTTAGGGTTTAGGGTTTAGGGTTTAGGGTTTAGGGTTTAGGGTTTAGGGTTTAGGGTTTAGGGGTTCAGGGGTTTAGGGGTTTAGGGGTTTAGGGGTTTAGGGGTTTAGGGGTTCAGGCTTTTAGGCTTAAGGCTTAGGGTTTAGGGTTTAAGGTTTAGGGTTTAGGGTTTAGGGTTTAGGTTTAGGGTTTAGGGTTTAGGGTTTAGGGTTTAGGGTTTAGGGTTTAGGGTTTAGGGTTTAGGGTTTAGGGTTTAGGGTTTAGGGTTTAGTAGGGTTTAGCAATTTATCGGCTAGTTCTAGTGCACTCCACTTGTGTGCTGAGGTGGCCAGCGGCCGACCTGTCAAGATGCCTCAGTAGGCTATACCCTTATTAGACTTCAAGGCCCCTAAACCCTAAACCCTAAACCCTAAACCCTAAACCTTATTAACCCCAAGGACACCGCTAAGCCACATAAACAGCCACCACGCCGATGCGTGAGGCCATGAACCCAGAAAGCTCTACAAGTAAGCCCTACGAGCCCCATGAGCCCTTACTTGGAGGTTCATGGTACTTGATAACCAATTATAACTGTACTTATAACCCACTTACAAAATACCCTTAAGTGCCCTAATATGGTTATAAGTGCAGTGATAAGTACAGTTGTAGTTGGCTAACAAGTACTATTGTAGTTGGCTAATAAGTACCATGAACATCCGTACCTTCGAAACCCGAACCCCAGCACTCATTAGCTCCTTGCGGGAGCAAAAGCAGGGGAGGGAGTATCTGGGAACCTGAATGAAGCAAAAGAGGGGCCTTGCAAAGGGCTATCCAGCTACGGGACCCCCCCCCCCCCACCGAAAGGATGTTGCAAACTAACCCAAAACCCTGAACCCTCAACCCTACACCCAGTGTCCCAACCTGCTAAGTCTTCCTCCTCCGCAAAGATCCGCCACTCTGTCCGGAACGCCTGGGCTCTGCAAACCCAAAACCCTGAACCCTGAACCCTAAACCCTGCGCCCAAAATTTGCACCCTGAATTCTCCAAACCCTGAACCCTAGCACATCTGACTGGACGCTTTCGGTCCGCGGGCCTAAACCTTTCGGGTTCCGGGTTCGGGGTTCAGACTTCAACCCTCAACCCTAAACCCGAAAGCCTCAAGTTCAGTGTGGGGTTTAGGACCGAGGGAGTACGTAGATAGGTTTGGAGTGAAGGCTTTAATGAACCAATTTAGGGTTCAGGGTTTCAGGAGTGTGTCCCATGCGCCGCGCACACCACCACGCGAGACGTGTGTGGTGGTGTGCACCAAGGTTCATATGCTCTCCTAGCCCGCCCACCCAACTTATGAAAAATGGTTTAGGGTTTAGGGTTTAGGGTTTAGGGTTTAGGGTTTAGTGTTTAAGGTTAAAATTGGTGTTCACACACTTGTTGTCGGCTCTCCTCTCACATGAATCCCATCCCATGTGTTTTCCTCGGATATCGCGCTTTCTGAAGCAACGTATATACAGACACAGGGTGAGGAGGGTACTTTTTCATCCACTTGGAGCCAGGAATATTCGAAGTGATCGAACGACGCAAAGTGAGACTTAGATAGAGAGAGAGGCATGTGTATGATGAGTTCCCTACATATTCGAGGCTGCCTTCTCATAGTAACCCCAAAAAGGGCCATAATTTAGAGAAGTGATCATGTGATAAGTTCTACAAAAGAGGGCACCCTAAACAAGAGGGGCCGCCTTAGAATAAAGAAACCCCAAAAGGACCATAAATTTAGTGAAGTAATCCTGTTACAACTACGCAAAGGAGCTTGTAAAGGGGGTCTGGCTAAACCCTAAACCCTCAACCCTCAACCCAAAATCTAGAGAAGTAATCATGTTACACGTACGCAAAGGAGTTTGTATATTGGGGCCAGGGGGTCCAATCTGCCCAGTGGCCTTGGCCCCCGATCGCGCTGCAAGGAGGGACATGAACTGGAGCGAGTGTTCTCGGCAGCGGTTTCGGGTTTCGGGTTTGAGGTTTCGGGTTTGAGGTTTAGGGTTTACAGTTGAGGGAGTTTAGGGTTTACAGTTTACAGCTTACAGTTTAGGGCTTAGGGCTTAGAGCTTAGGGGCTTAGGGAGTTTCCAGTTTGGGCCGGGGGGGCCTCCACCCCCTCCCCTCGCTGATACGGACCCCTTGTCGGGCGGGCTTGGGTTCTAAGACTCTGGACCAGGAAGGAGCTGTATTCGTAGGGCTTGAACTGAAATATCTTAGGACAGAGATGAATACTCCCCTTCGAACCTTAATAAAAACAATGTGTTTAATATCCTCTTGGGTGTTATATAACCAAATAAAAAAAGAATTCCCAAGGGGGATATAGAGATGAATATGCAGAGGTTTCCAAGAGGGGTTCTAGGAGTCTCTAGCAGGGGGGATTCGATGGACCTTGGGGCACTGGGGCTTCAGGGGTTGCAGGGCTTCGGGTTGTAGAGTTTAGGGTTGTAGGGGTGAGGGTTGTAGGGGTTAGGGTCGAGGGTGGGGTTGTAGTAGGGTTGTAGGGTTATAGGGCTGTAGGGCTGCAGTGTTGCAGGGTTTGTTGCAGGGTTTGTTGCAGGGTTTCCAGTAGAAGCGAAGGCTTTGGGGGCATGAAAGTTTGTGGAGGGCTCTGAATGGGGCTGCTGGGGGTTGATCCGGATGCTCCCGCCCCCCATAAGCAAGGGCGGCCAGACCTTGCCCACGTCAAGAACAAAACCCTAAACAACCCTAAACCCTACACCCTAAACCCTAAACCCTAGACCCTAGACCCTTGACGTGGGCAAGAACCAAACCTTAAACCCTACAAGCAAAACCCTAAACCCTAAACCCAAAATTTTAAACCCTAAACCCTAAACCCTAAACTCTAAACCCCAAACCCCAAACCCTAAACCCTAAACCCTAAACCCTAAACCCTAAACCCTAAAGCCTAAAGCCTAAACCCTAAACCCTAAACCCTAAACCCTAAACCCTAAACCCTAAACCCTAAGCCTAAAAGCCTGAACCCTAAACCCTAAACCCTAAACCCTAAACCTTGTCTGGCCCCAGGGCTGCCGGGAGACGCACCTCCATCTCCTGCCGACGCCGTGGAGAGGCTCCCAACACTTTAGGGCTTCTTAGGGTTTAGGGTTTAGGGTTTAGGGTTTAGGGTTTAGGGTTTAGGGTTTAGGGTTTTGGGTTTTGGTGCTGACGAGCAGCAGGTTGGAATGGGGTGTCAGCAGATTGCGAGGCGGCCATGGTGTCGAATTTCGGACTCTTTTCACATTCAAAGCGGCGAACAACATGTCTCTGCGAATGTCTGCTTGTGCTCTGCACATGCTTTGTTGGATAGTGCGAATGATCTCTGCTTTACATGTTGATCATGCACCTCCTGACGTGATATGACATGGTGGCACTCTGGCCACAACGTTTTCGGCCCCTCCTTCGGGCCATGTCCTGCACAAGTCGGCGACAAAGGGTCCTGGACGAGGTCGGGTGCAATCAACACTCCTCCTTGGTTGGCCTCTTGAATTTTCAAGGCCAACCATCTATACATATCATCCTGACCGAGTCTGCCGAAGTGACCTGCCGCGGTTCTCGCGACATACTCTGCACATTTGCTTGTCGTGGATCCTGTTGGCATTCCTCAGCCCCCAGCAATCTGGAAACACATGAACATGGTCTCCGCCATCGGTGACGTAGTAAGGGCCTGAGTAGTACTCCGGCACAGGTACCTCCACTTCACGAATCTGGATCTGCACCTCCGGAGGCCTCATCGGAATGAATGCCGGAGTCACCTGAACACCAACTTCCTTTGTAGTCGTAGTCGAAGGCTGCTCTGGTGGCGATTCATCAAGCCGCAGCATTTGTTGCTTCAGCTCCAGTTCCACAGCCTTTTGTAATCGTCGCAAACGCCTGGCTCTGCGTGTCGTGCCGGTGTCATCAGTGATGCGATACCAAATCCACCACAAGCTTTCCCAAGCAGCAACCAGCACAACGCCCACCAGCATCACGACGATATACAGCTCAATTGAGCCATCCATTTGCAGAGGCATCTTTTCTGCAGGAGGTGTCGCCCGAACAGTTTGCACCATCATCATCATGACCATGGCCCGTGCAAGCGAAAGTTTGGCAGCTTTTATCGACATATCAACTACGCCCCACAAGCTGACCAATTCCTGCAACCTCTGTCTTGGAAAGGATTTTGTTAATAGGTCTGCCAACTGCAAACTTCCAGGAACAAATTGGACTTCGACCAATCCCCGTTCTATTTGTTCTGTCAAGAATGCAGCCCGTATACGTAGGTGTCGTGTTCTCCATCCACCCCCCGCGGACGTCGCTGGATTGGCCAACGACACAGCAGCCTGGTTATCCACCAGTATGGTGGTTTTGGCCGGGATGTTGCCAAACTGCTCCAGGATTGCACGCATAGACAAACACATGGTAAGAGTCTCCAGGGCCGCTATCAGCTCACATTCCGCTGTGCTTAGGCTCACGAATGGTTGCCTGCACGATCTCCAAGAAATTGGAACATTCATCCAGGTGGTAAGGAGCCCCGAATGGGACTTGTCCCCAGAGGGAGCAAATGAGCTGTCACTCCACCCTTTGACTGCTTCTCCTTGAGGAAAGATTTCCAGGGCGTAGTTGGCAGTCCTTTGCAAATACGACAATATTCGCATCCCCACTTCCACACATCTTGGCGCTGCCCTCGTAAGCAAGGAGCCCATTGCAGCAATTGGAAACGACAAATCCGGCCTGCTGCGTTGTGAAATCCACAACAACTCTCCACACAATCTTTGAGCTTGCTTGAGGTCGTCGGAGGTTCCGGTGTCTTCTCCTTCCTCCACTTGAAAGGAAAGAAGCTCGCGATTGCAGGGGATCGGCGATCTTGCTGTGGTGGGGATGTCATGGACGCGAAGCAGTTCTGCAATGTAGGGCCTTTGGTGTATATAATATCGATCTCCTTCCAGATTGGTTTCAATTTCACAACCCAGAAAGCGAACCCCTTTTTCTGCAGAAACCACCTCCAAAGTTGATGTCTTCCATGTTCTGCTTATCGTGGCGGCGGTGGACATCATCAACGACAGCGGACCACAAATCAGCAAGTCATCGACATAGACCAGGACGGCTCCTTCCGGGTGGTCATACACTGAGGTTCCTGCCTCATACAAGAACCAAAGATTCGGCTCCGCCTCGCCTTGCTTCAGCATCCACCTCTTGCAGCCATCCTCAATCTCCATCGCCTTCATAGTTCGATCGCGAAAGTTCGCCGACAACTTGGGCGATTGCCGTAACCCATACATTCCATGGGTCAGGAGCCATCGCTCTGATGCCTCTGCTAGGCCCATTTGCACCAGTATGCTTGGTGGGGTGATGACGTAGAGGATCTCGTCAGGGCCCTCTGGCATCGGAGTGAGCATAAATGCTCCTGTGATATCCAGGGTGGCGGCAAGCCATCGCTTGTAGGCGGAGAAAGTGAGGGTGCTTCTCAAGCTCTCTGCTGCTGCTCCTGAGGCGAACACATCTTGTTGAGCATCTTCAGCAAAGTTTCCGCAGCACACAATGCGAGCCTTCCGCTTGCACCATTTCTCCTCTTCTTCCGCCTCCTCAGCTACCACACCTGGTGGCTTCAGGGTGTAGACCATCTTCGCGGGCAGGTACTGGACGTTGTGGTGGTGCTCCAAGTCCTTGGCGTGCTGGACGGTAATGCGACGGAAGCCCTTCTCCACCACACCAATTTCCTTCTTGATGGACTTCTTCCATTTTGGAATGTTCTGCCGAACATCGGCAGGACTCACATTGTGGGTGTGGCGCAAAGGCTCTCGCAGGTCTGCAATAAGCTTCTCTATGTCCTTCGTGTACTCGGGCTCCAGCTTTGCCAATCGAGGGAACGCTTCCCCAGCAGACCATTCCTCCATATTCTCGGCCATAGCATCCTGCACCTCCACGTAGTCCACCTCCTGATCCACTTGTCCTCCATATATTCGCTGGAGGTATGGAAGCTCCCTTCCGGGTTCTTCAGAGCTTCCCACAAGGAGCAGCCGGTGCTCCTCCTGTTCCCTGTGCTCAGGGTCATGGATGTTTCTCTCATCATCCGCATACACCTCCCATTCGCCCACATATTCTGCACCATCACACATAGCCTCGACATCCTCTTGCACATCCCCTGCTTCTTGAGCTCGACTCCAAGAAACGCACTCCGGACTCGAAGAGGACGCCTCCAACACGGGTGTGGTTTCCCGTGCCAGGCCAATCTGCTTCACAAAGCAAAGTCCATCAAGACCACCGTCAAGTAAACCCATTCCATCGACAGGAAAACCACAGTGCTTCAAGTAGGCTACATCCGGGCGGGCCAACCTTGAAATCCCGGCTGGGGTGTAAGCGGATAGGACCCATCGAGGTCCTTCATCACGAACATAAGCATGCTTTGAGCGAGGGGAGAATTCCACTGGCCGGTTCTTGATGTCGACAATCCTTCCCAGCTCAGTACCTCCATCGGGTCGTTCATGTAGATGTGGAATCACTTCTCCTCCTCCTCGATGTGGATGCGACTCAACATCGCCCTCCACCCATAGACCAGCACTTGGGGTCTCATCTAGCTCCATGACATAGTTCATCGACCCTTTCTGATTGTGCTTGTCCTTGTGCACCGGGGCTTCGTTCAAGCGATGCAGCGCCAACGCCGCCCAAGTCGGATCGGTTCCCGGCATGGTCTCGACGATCCGCTTCTTCATGTAATGGTTGAGGAAGTAGGTGGTGTAGGGCAAACACCTTCCATTCATAGTGATGCCATAAGCCCCTCCTTGGACATAGGCACCCAGTATCATTCCTGCCCCGGTTGTTGAGCGAGGAGCACGAAGGTTGCCCTTGAAGTCGTCCATTGCCTGCAAAACAGTCCGACATGCTGCAGCTGTGTAGGACCCTTCTTCCACCAACTCCTTTGACACTTTCTCCACTGCTTCAGCGTCTGCAGCACGGATTGTTTTTACTCTCGGAGTCATCGAACTCAACGGGGCCTGCAAGGAAGTTCGTGCTTGTAGTTCATCATGATCATCCATAGAATTGGCAAAGGTCGTGAACTCCTTGTCGTGCACTTGCATCATGCGTAGTTCCACACCTGCAGTTTTCCCCTTCGTTCGGTACATAGGCGGAGCGTACGAGACTGGAGGTCCCTTTGGTGGAGGTGGTAGCGGTGGTTCCTCGGGGACGACCACCGGCTCATGCACCTTGGGCGCTTCACACTTATCCTCTGGCTCGACAATGATCGTGGGGCCCACCTCTTCCAAGGAAGGTGGCTCTCTGGCCACTCGCACATGTGTCGTCTGAATGAAGGTTCCGGTGCTCTTCAAGATCACATGGCCTCCCCGAACATCCGTCGATGGTCCCAAGTATTTTCCTTGTAGCCAATGAGGACCCAAATCCTCCACATCACCAGTCTTGTACTTCTTGATCTTCACGTACACTTTCGCCCCATAAGCCACCACCATCGGCTGCATAATCCCCAGCTTTTCACATCGCTGCTGCACCGCAGCGGTCTGTATGGCAGTAGGCCAATGTTCTCTTCCAAGACGGGCTGCATCAAGTAGGATCCTGGCCTTCTCCATTCTCCGCCGGCTCCGAACCAGTGGAAGTTGTAGGCAGCATCCCTTGCGAAAGCACCCAATGCCGAACCAGGTTTCCACGAAGTTCACCTCCTCTATCGGCATGTATACGAACAATCGGGTATCCGAGCGCCTTTATGTCCACTACCATTTGCTGAATTGCTGGCAATGTCGAAGCTGCCTTTTTGTTTCGTACAGGCACACAGAAGTAGAGGGTCTCGGTCTCCAAGGGTTCCTTGAAACTTGCCTTGAGCTTCTTCCACTCCTCCTGGTCCTTTCGAACCTGCTCCGGTGTAGGCATTTCCGACTCCTCCTCTTCCGGCGCTTCCTCCACTTCATCCTCCGAGAGCTCCTCCTTGTCTTCAAGGTCCGGAGGGATTGGATGACCTCGTACTGCTTCATGCACAGGTCCATCTTCTTTCGGAATTCGGAACGCCCCAACCACAAAGTATTTGAAGAACTTTCCATCTGGTGATCTGCCATGCCCTTTCAACG